TAACTCTTCCTAATAAATTATTTTGGGAGTTGGTTTGTTTTAAAAACTTTCCTTGCGTTTTTGGTCGCAACATGCGAGTTAAAGTTTTGGCTTTGTCCCCTGTGGCGATGGCACAGAGCGGGTGGGATTTAAGATACTTAAAAAAACCTTTCAAAAATACTAATTTAAAACAATTTCATTATTTCAATTGTTGCTGTCGAGGCAGGATGGGCATGGGAAGACTGATCAGAAGGCTGCTGAGAGTAGAACTACAGTTTATTTAAAATACATCGCTCTTTTATACAGAGCTTTGTGAGGACCAATGGAAAAAAAACTGAGAGTAAAACTCTGGTTTATTCAAAATACCCTGCTCTTTTATACAGAGCTCTGTGAGGACCAACTCCATTGGACCAATGGAAAAAAACCTGAGAGTAAAACTCTGGTTTATTCACAATACCCTGCTCTTTTATATAGAGTTCTGTGAGGACCAACTCCATTGGTCCTGAAGTGAAAACAACTCAACCCATTGGTGTACAGTGCTTGACACACACTGATAGAACTTAACTATAAACAATGTGAAAAACAAGAGAGATAAAGAATTATTGACATTCTTCTCCAGCTCTTTCCCAGGCTTCTGCCTGGCTAGAAAATCTCATTTCTCTCTTTGACTGAATCTGAGTTCCACAGTCAGTGAATTCAAAGAAAGACAGAAATCCTGCTCTATTTTTTTTTTTCCTGATAAAATGGAAACGCTGCTGGTTTGGTTTTTTTTTTTAATGCATCTCCCACTGTAATTCCAGTGCCTGCGGATGTGTTCGCAAGGAACTCCCTGTGGAAAGGCTCCTACGAGTACATGGGGAAGAAGCAGCCAGCCATGCTCTCTGTCACCAGCTTTGACCCTGCCACCAGCAAGGTCAACGCCACCTTGATCGACCACAGCGGGGTGGAGCTCCAGGTGTCGGGTGAGGGACACGCCGTGGCCTCAGGAGGGGTTGGCATTGGCACTGCCAATGTCCCCTGTGCTGGCACAGCCGGGATCTTGTGGTGAAATCCAATTCTTGATGGTGCAGGTCGTGTTTTGTAGGATTATCAGAAGGTCCCGTGTCAGATCTTACTGGTGGACAGTGCATTCACACTTAGTTTATTGGTCAGTCAGTGGTATTTTGCATATCTTGTCAAACTTCTGTATTTTTAGTAACTCCATGTATTTTTTCTACTCATTCTCTTGAGACAGATCTTATTGTTTATAGTGGTGCACTTATTTTTCACTCTTGGCATTTTAACAAATCTTTCATACCAAGATTGTTTTCTCATGGGAACTTGCAGCTATTAATTTAGGCCCGATTTTATGAGGCCTTTCTTGTTTAATTTTTCTACTTTTCTATGACACTGGGACACCTCTAGGGCTGTGTCCAGTTCTGGTCACTCATGGCCAGAGAGACACTGAGGGGCTGAAGCGTGTCCAGAGAAGGGAATGGAGCTGGAGAAGGGTCTGGAGAACTCCTGATGGAGAAAAGGAGGCTCAGGGGGCAGCAAGGGTGGGTCAGGCTCTGCTCCCAGGATGAGAGCACACAGCCTCAATCTGTGCCAGGTTGGATTTTAGGGAACATTTCTCCATGGAAAGGGTGGTCAGGCCTTGGAACTGCCCATGGAGGTTTGGAGTGCCCATCCCTGGAGGTGTCCAAGGAAGGACTTGGAGCTTTGGGCAAAAAGACATGAAATTATGTGGGCTGGACTTTGATGATCCTTGGGGGTTCCTGATTCCATGAGGGCTCCATGTCTCTGCCCTCCTGGAGCACCAGGCTCGTCCTGATCCAGCAGAAGAACCTGATTATTAATTAAATATTGACTCGTTTCCCATGTGGAAAATCCCTTCAATATCCTGGGCTGTGTTTCCGTGAATTCCAATGACAGAGCTGATGTCCACTCAAATCCTGACGTGGTTTCCGTGCCCTCCCACTCAGTCATTTCAAACCAGAGTGATCCAGAGCCGACAAAATCCCTTCTTTTCCAGGGATTTACAAGAAAGAAGACGTGCATCTGCTGCTCCAGGTGTACCAGATCATGGGGCCGCTGGAGAGCTTTGCCAACAAGTTCAGGAATGACAAGTGGGCTCTGGATGGACACGTGAGTGCACAAAATCCACCCACCCGTGGCTGGATTTCCCTTCCTTGGAGCTGAGGGATCATTCCCAGAGCTGGGAGGGGACATGTGGCCCTTCCCCAGCAGGTGACAGCTCCTCCTGCAGCTGGGGGTTGATTTGATTTCCCTGGGGTTTGGAATCCATCATCTCCCAGGTAATGCTGGAGGAGAAACCAACGGGATTCGTTGCACGTGGATGTTTTGTATCTGCTCAACATCTTGCTGGAAAAGCTGATTTTTCCCTACTGGAGCCAACTCCTCACCCTCTGCCCGTGTCTGGGAGTTCCCCAAGCCCTTCAGGGATCCAATGGAGCTTAGAAAAATTGTGGATCCAATTGGTCCATGGCCACTTTTCCCTCTCCCTCTGGAATCAGCAATGTCCTCTCCGGTTTACAACAAAAAAGATTTTTAGCTTCCCTTCTTTTGAGAATGGAGAATTTTCAGCTGTCGGGCAGTGAAACTCGTTAAAAAATGCCAGGATCTTCTGGGGAATTGCATGAAATGAATGCACTTGGAAGGGGCTGGGTGTTAAATCCAGGGAAATGTTGGATCAATCCGTTGGTTTCCACTCCCCGCAGGTCTCGTCGGAGTCCTCGAGCGGCACCTTCGTGTACCAGGGCTTTGTGCGTGGCAAAGGCTTCGGGCAGTTTGGCCTCCAGAGACTTGGTAAAATTCCTTGGATTTGCATTTTCCCCCTCAATTCCAAAAGCTCCATTTTGGCCTGGTGGGGGTTTCCAGGCAGGGAATGTTTCTCCAATCCCTGGTTTGAATTTTCCGCACTTTCCGAGTTCTGCTGAGCTTGGTGTGAGGCTTGTGGGAGACAAACAGCACAAAACAAACAGCACAAGGATAAAATTGATCATTTGGGAACAACGTGAGGGATAACCAGGCTGCTGTCCAAAGGCAGGGAGAGTTTGGAAGCACAAACAACACCTGGACATGTTTTTTCCCAAATTCCCAGATCCCTGCCAAGCCCAAATCCCATTCCCACCAGAGAAAGTGTCTCCATCAGAAATCACAGAGGCTCTTGGGAGCTTAAACAACCCAAAGTTTAAGCTCCTAAATACCTCTTAAAGCGTGGTTTGAGCTCTTTAATCCCTCAGGATTTCTGGAATCTCGTCACCTTTATGGCTGCTCGTTATTGCAGCGTCTCAGAGTCTCCTTAAAGCCCAACTTCATGCATCCAGGCTGGACCTGTTCAGCAAAATAAATCAATTTATACCTCTCTTTAATCACAACTCTAAATAAATGATGAGGCCTAAGTTAGGGTTGATCTCCATCCTTGCACATCCATTTTTAAATTCCCTTTTCCAGCACCGCTTTGCTCATTTTGTTGCTGGTGCCAGCTGTACCTCGAGCCAAACCCTTTTCCCTCAGCTGGGAGTTGGGGAATGTGGGAAATTTGTTCCTTTTTGCTGTGTTCCAGACATCAGCATGATGGAAAACGACCCCGAATCCATAGGCCACCACTTTGCATCCAACAGCAGCTCAGTGGCAGCCGCCATCCTTGTGCCTTTCATCGCCCTGATTATTGCAGGGTTTGTGCTTTATCTCTACAAACACAGGTGGGTTTGGGGCCAAAATTCCAAAAGGTGAAAGACATTTGGGGATTTGAGAGAAGTATCCATGAGCTGAGCTTAAAATTCCCCCCTTTTGGGCTGGTTTAATTCAGGAGGTGGGACAAAAACAGGGTTTGGTTGATTATTGCAGGGTTTGTGCTTTGTCTCTGCAAACACAGGTGGGTTTGGGGCAAGAATCCCAAAAGGTGAAAGAAATTCAGGGATTTGAGAGAAGTATCAGTGAGCTGGGCTTAGAATCCCACCTTTAGTGCTGGATTAATTCAGGAGGTGGGACAAAAACAGGGTTTGGTTGATTTTTGCAGGGTTTGTGCTTTGTCTCTGCAAACACAGGTGGGTTTGGGGCAAGAATCCCAAAAAGTGAAAAAAATTCAGGAATTTGAGAGAAGCATCAGTGAGCTGATCTTAGAATCCCACCTTTAGTGCTGGTTTAATTCAGGAGGTGGGACAGCAACAAAGAGGGTTTGTGAAAATGGGGGAAAAATTACAGAAGGTGAAAGAAATTCAGGGATTTGAGAGAAATATCACTGAGCTGGACTTAAACCCCCCTTTTAGGGCTGGTTTAATTCAGGAGATGGGAAAACAAATCATGGCAGGATGAAGATTTGGGAGAGGAGAGCAACAAGGGTTTTGCTGGCCATTAATGGGATTTGTGGCCACGTTTTGGAGGATAAAAAGCAAAGTCCCCCTGCCGTGGCTTTGGAGGTGGTGCAAATTCAGGTTTGCTCCTGATCAGTGGTGCAAATTCCAGGCTGGATTTTCCTGCCCCATCCCCAGGGGTTTCCCTGTCTGTGACACCAGTTTTATGTCACGATGGTTCGTTAAGCAATCCCAAAAGTGCAAAAAGGCAAATGGAAGGGGACCATTAGTTTAATCACAACAAATGCACTTTTTATTAGGTACCAACAGCAAATGTGATAGAGGGGACAGAAAAGGGAAATAAAGAATAAGGAAAGGAGGGAAAATGGAATATAGCTACCACCATCGAGACATGGATTTGTCGTCATCCGTTGGGGTTAACCAAAATCTTCCAAAAAATTAGAGTTTATATAGTTTTTATCCAAAGCAAGTGGCATCTGGCCAGAAGCGGGGCAAGATTGATGGGCAGGTGGTGGCACACAGGGACAAGCCACCGCTCGTCACCAGCTGCTGGAATTCAGCGTTGTGTAGGAGCACAGAGCCCACCTTGGCCGGGCCACCACTCCTGTCAGGGTCTGTGGCAACTACTCACGCAGGGTCCGTGAGGCAAATGGAGAAATTCGGGGCCAAATCTCACGGTGGCTTTTGTCCCCGATCCCGCAGGAGGAGACCCAAAGTCCCGTTCAACGGCTACGCCGGCCACGAGAACACCAACGTGAGGGGCACCTTCGAGAACCCCATGTACGACCGGAACCTGCAGCCCTCGGACATCGTGGCGGGCGAGGCCGAGTTCACCGTGAGCACGGTGTGCACGGCCGTATAGCGCCGTGCCCGCGCGGTGAGTGCCACACGGCAACGTGCCCGTGCGGTGAGTGCCACACGGCAACGTGCCCGTGCGGTGAATGCCACATGGCAACGTGCCCATGTGGTGAATGCCACATGGCAACGTGCCCATGTGGTGAATGCCACATGGCAACGTGCCCGTGCGGTGAATGCCACACGGCAACGTGCCCATGTGGTGAATGCCACATGGCAACGTGCCCATGTGGTGAATGCCACACGGCTGTACTGCACCGTGCCCACATGGTGGGTGCCACATGGCCATATAGTGCCATGCCCACGTGGTGAGTGCCACACGGACGTACTGCACCATGCCCGCGCGGTGCCACACGGCCGTATAGCGCCGTGCCAGTGCGGTGAGTGCCACAGTGCCACATAGCACCGTACCCGCGTGGTGCCACTTGGCCGTACTGCGCCGTGCCCACGCGGTGAGTGCCACATGGCCGTACTGCACCATGCCCGCGCGGTGCCACACGGCCGTATAGCGCTGTGCCAGTGCGGTGAGTGCCACAGTGCCACATAGCACCGTACCCGCGTGGTGCCACGTGGCCATACTGCGCCGTGCCCACGTGGTGAGTGCCACACTGCCATATTCCGCTGTGCCCATGCGGTGTGCCACACGGCCATCTAGCTCCCTGCCCACGCGGTGCCATGCGTCTGTACTTCACTGTGCCCGCACGGTGAGTGCAACAGTGCCACATGGCACCGTGCCCACGCGGTGAGTGCCACAGTGCCGTACTGTGCCATGCCCATGCGGTGAGTGCCATGTGGCCGTAAAGCACCGTGCCAGTGCAGTGAGTGCCACAGTGCCACATAGCACCGTGCCCGCGCGGTGAGTGCCACACGGCCGTATAGCTCCGTACCCAAACCGTGCCACGTGGCCATATAGCGCCGTGCCCACGCGGTGAGTGCCACACGGCAACGTGCCCACGCGGTGAGTGCCACACAGCCATATCCCGCTGAGCCCGCGTGGTAAGTGCCACGTGGCCATACTGCACCGTGCCCACGCGGTGAGTGCCACACGGCCGTATCCCGCTGTCCCCTGGCTCCCCGTGGGGCCGCGGGGTCCTGGAAGGAACGTGGGATTTGGAAGGGTTTGGGACCATGGAGGGTGTGGAGTTGGAAGGGTTCTCATGGGATCATGGAATGAGGAGAGTTGGAAGGGTTTGGGATGGTGGAGTTGGAAGGGTTTGGGATTGTTGAGTGTGTGGGGAGTTGGAAAAGTTCTCATGGGATCATGGAATGAGGAGAGTTGGAAGGGTTTGGGATGGTGGGACGTGGGGATTTGGAAGGGTTCTCTTGAGATCATGGAATGAGGGGAGTTGGAATGGTTTCCATGGGATCATGGAATGTAAGGGGAGTTGGAAGGGGTTGGGAAGATGGAATGAGGGGAGCTGGAAGGGTTTCCATGGGATCATGGAATGTAAGGGGAGTTGGAAGGGGTTGGGAAGATGGAATGAGGGGAGTTGGAATGGTTTCCATGGGATCATGGAATGTAAGGGGAGTTGGAAGGGTTTGAGAAGATGGAATGAGGGGAGCTGGAAGTGTTCTCATGGTATCATGAAATGTGGGAAGTTGGAAGGGTTTCCATGGGATCATGGAGTGTGGGGAGTTGAAAGGGTTCTTATGGGATGATGGAATGTGGGGAGTTGGAAGGGTTTGGGATCATGGAGTCGGAAGGGTTTCCATGGGATCATGGAAAGAAGGGGAGTTGGATCATGGATTGTGTAGAGTTGGAAGGGTTCTCATGGGATCCTGGAATGAGGGAGTTGGATCCTGGAATGAGGGGAGTTGGATCATGGAATGAGGGGAGTTGGATCATGGAGCACAGGGAATTGGAAGGGTTCTCATGGGATCACAACATGCAGGGAATATTCCATCTGGAATACTGCAACTTTAGGACACCAAAGCCACTTCCCCAGAATTCCCAGGTGTCACAACCAGCTCCTTGCCCTCCCAGATTCCCGTGGCCGGTGTCCAGTGTGGATGATCGTCCCAGCTCACCATCCATCCATCCCCTCCCCACCTCCCTGCTCCCGCCCCTGCCGAGGCTGCGGAGAAGCTGCTGGAATTCCCCGGGGGCTGCTGGATCCACCTCCTCCATCCTGCCGGATCTCCAAGCCAAAGGTTCTGCTCCGGCCCCGCTCCCACACCTCGGCAAGGCCTGGTGGTGGGAAGGCTTTCCCGAGCTGCTCCCGGCGCCCCTGGAAGGAGCTTCCCAAACTTTGGGAAGAGCTTGGGCGACAAAGAGGTCGTGCACAAGATGCTGGATTCGTGGAAAAACACCTGGATGGGACAGGATGAGGATTTGCGTGTCTGGGTTTGGGTTTCTGGTTGGATTTTCTACCCCAGGGCTTGGGCAGAGGAAAGGTTTTCAATGGAGCTTTCCAAACCTTGGGAAGCTTTTTCCCTCTTCCCTGTGTTTGGTTTTCCTTTGGGCATTCCTGGCTGGATTTACAGAAAACACCTGGATGGGACAAGATGAGGATTTGGGTTTTCTGCATTTGGGTTTTTGGGTCATTTCTTGGTTGGATTTTTTACCCCAGGACTTGAGCAGAGGAAGAATTTTCAAACGGGGCCTTTCCAAGCAAAACTTGGGAAACTTTTCCCCTTTTCCCTGTGTTTGGTTTTCCTTTGGGCATTCCTGGATGGATTTATGGAAAACACCTGGATGGGACAAGATGAGGATTTGGGTTTTCTGCATTTGGGTTTCTGGGCCATTTCTTGGTTGGATTTTCTACCCCAGGAAGAGTTTTCCAAATGGGGCCTTCCCAAAACTTGGGAAAAGCTTCCCAAAACTGTGTTTGATTTTCCTTTGGGCATTCCTGGCTGGGATTTTCCTGCCCCATGTTCCCCCTGATTCGAGCTGGGCCCAAATTCCTGATCAGGAATTCACTGCCAGACGATTCCTGAAGGGACAGGAATATCCAAGGGGACAAAAATCCTCTCGAAAAGAACTCAACAAACACCAGTTCCCCCAAACGCTTCCCAAATCCTTTGCCCTTCCCAGACTGATCCTCCAAAGGGCAATGCCAGAGGAGTTTTAATTCCCATCCCGAGCGGCTCCTGTTGTTTTCCCAGGGGCACTCAGGTTTTCTGGGATTCTGCGGGAGCGGGGGAGGCAGCCTGGAATTCCCCTCCTCTGGATCCTTGTGATGCAGAGTTTGCTTGGAGTCACTTTTTTTAGGATCAGGGGAGGCAGCAGTGCCATTCCCAAGTCACCGAGTCCGGGAGGCTCCAAGGAAAATCAGGATGAACCCTTTGGAATGGGGGTTTCCATTCAATCTCCCATTCCAGCAGGGATTTTCTCCTCCCTGCTGAAAACCATGGGATAATCTGGGAATTTGGTTTATCCTTGATTTTCTGGGTGTAAACACATCGATATTTTATTTTTCTTACTCCCAGCTCTGCCAGAGGGAGCAGAATTCCCAGCCTGCCTAAAAAACACCACTGGGGTGCTCCCAAAAAATGCTATTTCTGCTCCCAAAAATCCCACCAAGGTGCCCTGATTGCTCCCTGGGGAGCGGGAGCCGGAGCCCAAGCCCCGATCCAGCGTGGGCAGGGATCAGGGAAGTGTTCCCACGTGGATTTGGGAACCCTGGAATCCAGGTGTGCTCCCACCTGGAGAGGACCCCAGGGTGAAATTCCACCTGCAGATGGACTGGGGTGGTGTCAGTCCCAAGGGAATATTCCCCTCTCCATCATTCCATCCTTCTGGAACAAGGCTGGGATAACCCCGTGGAATTTTTGGGAAGCTGGGCTCTCCTGGCCCATTCCTGAACTTTTCCAAGCTCGATTATCCCCAAAAACCCCAAAACTCAACCCAAACTCCTTCCATGTCCCAATCCCAATTCCAGGGCCCAAAACTCCAACAATCCCTGGGAGCAGAGCTTGGATCCTGTCCAAATTCCAGGGAATCCTCCCCTGGCTGCTCCAGGTGATTCCCACACCTGGCTCCCACTCATTCCAT